AGTTATTGTATATAGTTACAAGAATCTTAATAAAGTACTAGCGTGGCTGCTTAAGAGCAAAAAAAAAAAAAAAAAAATTTTATATTGAATTAATATTTTTTTAAATAATTAGAGTTCAGTATAAATAATAATAAAATACATAATTATAAGATAGTAAAAATTGAATTTATATAATTAATTACTAGATATAAATAGTTAAAAATATTAAGTATATAGTAAATAATAATGTAATTAATTTGTTTAATAATATAATTTATAATATATATTTTATAGATATATTTAATGTATCAAAAATGACACTTTATTCATATCATATAAGACCAGGCCAGTTCTGAACTAATTCTAAAAGTCTGATCCAGACCTAGTCTAAACAAGTATTCTAGGCAAAATATGGTTTATAATGAAGTGAGAATTCTAGGTTACAGTAAAACTGCAATAGTCAAGTAACTGTGCACATAGTGCACAAAGCAAAAAACAGATATATATTAATATAAAATAACAGTATTATAGTTCTTAACTAACATCATTATCATTATATGTTACCATATATCATAATACAAGTTATTGCTAGGAGAAAAATCCTTCAACAATTTCTGATCACCAACATGCACAAATTAATAAGGGCAAACGTTCACTGATCTGAAACATCGAACGGTAATGTTTTGGGTAAAGATTTTCAATACCTGTTTAAACAATTTAGAATACACGGTGATGCTGTTACATGTGAAGACCAATAAGGGGTAAGATTTTGCACCTGCACACCATTTCTCCCACAGGTAAGCCATACCCTCCGTTCCTGGTATAGCAATAGCTGCATTGTACATCATCACCTAAAATAGTGACACGAGCGAAACGGCGAGTCAGTCACTTGGCAAATGGGTATGTCGTGTAGCCTACGAACGGTTTAGTCGGTTAATTTGGAGAGTGGTATATTTATGATCGTAGGTTTTATAATACAACGAAACAGAATTATTATAAGGGCGAAATTTATGATAAGCACTAACTGAACTCCTCATGTAGGGCTCGAAGCCTTTATTATATATTGTTATATCACATATGCGTTCTTTAAGGTACTAAATGTATTAATCCTATTAAACGTATTAATCCTATTAAACGTATTATCCTCCTTATATCCCTTTAACGTTCCTTATTACTTAAAACTCTTAATTCCCGTATATCCCATTAATTACAGTTTCCTCTTAAAAACCCTTATCGCCACTATTATCCTTGTATCTGCTAATTGCCCTATACGACTTTTAGGAGTGATAATCCCGGAAGCCCATATTAGGTAGTGATCGACAAAGCTGTTTATTCGTTACTGCGCCATACCGATCACCTGCTTAAACGAGCTTCCGGCATTACCATCCTACTGTTCACAATATTACAAAAATCGGATTTATTTGCATAATTGGTTACACGGAAGATACTATTTGTGTGTGCGTCTATTTTATTATTTAGTTCGTTGAGTCGAAATCTTAAAAATAAAAGTAGAATCTTTTAAACTTAATTATGAATCCCCCATTTTGAAAAAAACCAATTGTTACTTGTAAAGAAAAAAATTTAAAATTTAACGTTAGAGTTTAACGCTAGTTTAATACACACTGTTAGACCCGAAACACGTGATCCACGAGTGACGTGGATCTTCGCCGTATGATCCTAAGTCACGCTCTCTCGGGTAT